AACTCTCTATCTCTCTCCCTTCCTCTCTACAAAATCAATAAAATATATTTAAAAAAAGAAACTTCGTGGCCCATGTGCAGAAGTCAGTTTTCAGCTCTCAAAAGAAATGAAGGCCCACTCCACCCACCTCACCCCCGCCCCCGCCCCCCAGTGCACCCGTGTGGTGCACCGGGCCTCTAGTATATAACTACAGCCTGACACAGAAGCACCCAGACCCTTTTGGCCTCAAGGGAGGGGAAAAGCAACGCAGAGAAAGGAAAAAATAACCCACAGTGACAGCCACCGTTAAAGCTCCTCTTGATCCTGCGCACGTCCAGATTGCGAGCACACCAGGCGATTTTTGAATCCCAGCCCCGTGCTCCTCCTGCCTTCTCAGTGGCTGCTGGCCACTTCCTCTTGGGGCCTGGCCAGAATGAGCTCAGGGGATGCTAATTTTAATTCTAGAATCAGTAAAGCATATTAGGAGAGGAAACCCACAGGTGAGGAAGCACGTTGTGAATTCCAGCGCCGAGGGGAACGACTGTGAGGCTGTGCGTTCGTCGGGGACAAGCCCCTTTAACTCATCTTGGCGTGGGGTCCGCCCGGTGGATTAGTTCGGTCGTTATTCACCCTTCAAGACGGCCCAGGATCCGGTCTCTTCCATTCTGCGTTCCACCTTCCAGCCACACCTTCAGCTCTGCCGCGGAGCTGGCTGCCGTCTCGCTTTGCTTCTCCTGGCAGCAGGGGAGAGGGCCAGCATTTCTCATCATACCACCCACCCGGGGTTTTGTGTGAATGCTTGAAAGGCTTTTGTAAACTCTGATGCGCTATCCACATATTGCCATCTCTTCTTTGTTGTTCTGGTTGATGATTTAACTGACACTTGCTTGATTGCATTGCAGAATATTCAAGCAGATTCAGATTCTATTTTTAAAACAACTGTGTGCTCAATATACTACTACTATGCTGTGGGTAGCATGCTGCGTACTTCCGTGCTTAGTCCTCACAATAATTTTATTATTTTACCAAAGAGGCCCACAGAAATTACCTTGCTCAAGAATATAGTTCTTTTCTGTTCTCTTTTAGGCCCTCCTGAAACTGGGTTAGAGCCCTAGCCAGTTTTTCTCAGCGGTTAGAGTGTTGGCCTGTGGACTGAAGGGTCACAGGTTCGATTCCCAGGCTAGGGCACATGCAGACTTCATCCCTGGTCTGGGTCAAGGTGCTTGCAGAAGGCAAGCAATTGATGTCTCTCACATTGATGTTTCTCTTTCTCCTCCCTTCTCCCCTCCCTCTCTCCTACTCTTTAAAAAAAAATCAATGGAAAAATGTCCTCAGATGAGAATTAGAAGGATCTATTATAAAGAAAAAGAGAGATTGTGTTAGAGACTTCCTCCTGTACTGCCCATCACGGCTCCTACTATACACACTGGTCCCCACCGGACTGGGAGCTGGGGTGCTGGGAACTGGATTTTGCTCACTGCTGTGTCCTCTGCCCAGCAAGTAGTCTGGCACATCAGAGATGCTCCCAGAAATTCTGTTGAGATGAATGAATGGAGGCTGCTGTTATAGCCAGTGCTCTAGCCTGAAAACTGTTTTCTTTGTAACTGACTGTTGTCTCCCCTACCAGAGTGAGATGCGGGTGTTAAAACACAAAACTCAGTGAAGTAGATTTAAGGTCTAATGGGCTTTCCCGAGCTATTGATCCTTTCTGACACCCGGAAGGTGCTCGGACGAGCTGTACGAAATGGAAGGTTTTATTCGCAGAAAGCGGGTGGGACGAAGTTAAGAGACTGGATTGCAGGCAAAGACACCTCTCAGGGCAGGGGTGGGGAACTTTTTTCTGCCAAGGGCCACGTGAGTGTCTGTTACATCATTCTTGGGCCACACAGAATTATCAACTTCAAAATGAGCCCACATTTAATGAGCTCACCCCGAATGCCTTGACCAGGCCAGACCAGATGATTTCCCAGGCCTCCCGGGGCGGGACCTGGATGTTCCCACCTGTGGTGAGGGAAGGCCGTGGGTCTTATCAGGCAGAGCATCTCAAAAGCATCGATCAGGAAATTCCAGATGGATTTGGTTGAAATTCCACTCCTGGGCCCTCTCGGGTTTGGCTCGGTGGGTAGAGCGTCTGTGTTTCTTTCATGGCTGGATTCTCAGAGCCAAGAATCATGCTTAGGACACAGTGAGGGTCCGGTAAATGCTGGTTGGCAAATGAAGTGAGAGCTGGGGAGATGGCAAACCCGCCTCCTGCTTTGTGTGTGTGTGACATCAGAGTGTATTTTCTGATGCTGACTTCAGGCAGATCATGTTTCAGATGCAGCACTGACGTGGGTAACTGCGGAATACTCTGGTTTCCTGAGTTAAACATTCATTGCGGCTGAGTGATGAAATCCTAACGAGAGCACTGTGCTTTTTTGCGTTCATGTCACAATCACTTCCCTTTCATCAGAGGAACTCTTGAAGCAGCAGGAGAAAGTGACGCTTGTAACAACCCTCGGCTTCGTTTTCTAGACCAAGTGCAGTGTCCCTTCCCTCTGTAAACCAGCAGTATGTGCTACATTGTGCTGTTTTGTAGCATGAAAGTAGCCACCATATTAATACAAGCTCTTTTTGTCTTTTTCAGATCATGGTAATTTGTGTTCTCCATTTTTCTTCTGTTAATCCTCACCTAAGGATATTTTTCTCTATTGATTTTTTTTTTTTTTACAGAGAATGGAAGGGAGGTGGGGGGAGAGAAACATCGATGTGAGACACATCCATTGATTGCCTTCTGCACGAGCCCCAATCAGGGCTGGGGATTGAAACTGAAACCCCCTAGGGCACAGTCTGACACTCTAACCACTGAACAACACTGTATGCGGGTGAGGCCCAAACCTGGGATTCTAAGTAAAAGATATGAATTCGTGGTATTTGACAGATTATGAAACTGCTTTGCCAATATGTTATACCGACTTATTCAACCACCAAACGATAACTTATTTAAATCATATTATCAATGTAGTAGGGAGAAGAAAAACCTCTTAAATCTTTCAACTTGCATTTAAGAACACTGCGAGGGGGGAAAAACTTGAATTAAGACCTGTTACTGGTTATATGTGTCTCCTCTTTTAGAATCGTCACTAACACTGAGGGGGGAAGTTTACCTGCTAGTTGGGCACCTGTCTCTTCCCTGTGGAGGCAGCGTGCTGTGAGAGTAGAAAGAACAAGGCCTTTGGGATGCGAATCCATCTTCCTAAAGAGCTGGACATACACGCACCAACCCTGTGAATTGTTAGTTTCACCCACTCATTTAGACTAAAGGGAGAATCTGATCTGATCAAAAGGGAGAATTGGACCATTTAGCTAATACTAAAAAAAAAAAAAAAAAGTTTATTGATTTTGCGAGGGAGGAGTAACATCGATGTGAGAGTGAAAAATCGGTCAGCTGCCTCCTGCACGCCCCTGCCAGGATCCTACCTCCAAGCGGGCAGGCACCAGGCTGGAAACCATTTTCTTGGATTTTTTAAAAATGGTAAGATGCTTACACTTACTATGAAGCCCTTGCTTAATGTGAGATGTCACATATCAACTCACCTTCATGATGACAGTCCGAGGGAGGTCGATAGGCATTATTACCAACACCTCACAGAAGAAAACACCTGGTGGGTGGGGAGACTAAGCGCCTTGTTTGAAGCTTGGTAGCCTATATTGTTAAGCAGCCGATTGACTACCCCAGCCGCCTCTAGCAAGTCAGAGGCAAGTCAGCAAAAAGTAAGCAAACCACCGCCGTGGCTCTGAGGAGAAAGACACTGCCGGTCACTCTCAGAGGAGCGTGCTTGTTCCTTCGAGCCCAGACTGAATGGAGGGAAGGGCGGCCGAATCTAAAACTGAAGCGCAAACCCATTTCAGGAGTGTCTACTGGCAACCCCTTCGGATGCTTCTGAACTCGGAAGCAGCTGGGCTGACTGCTCCCATTTGGGCAAGTGCGGCGGGCTGTGCCTCCCTGTCCGGTCTGGAAGGGCTTCTCAGCGACACAGTCCACCATGAACCTCTCTCTCCAGGCTTCTAGGCAGGCGATGGCCCGGTTATTAAAAAGAGCCATGTTGCAAAGGTGGGAATTTGCTGTTAACTTTTCCTCATCTTTCCAACCCGAAAGTGTGTGTGTGTGTGTGTGTGTGTGTGTGTGTGCGCGCGCGGGTGACACAGGGGAGGGGCACACGACTGACTGTTAGTTTATATACGTGAGCCGTTTGCCAGGAAAGGTAAAACCCAGACATTTGTATTTTCCAGACACACCGAGGCAGGCAGTCCTGGGGTTACGTTGGACTCATCATACGTGTACGTCGTTTCACGGTGAGTCACCATCTCCCATTTATTTTATATATAAAAAAAAGTCCCGTCATTTCAACGTCTGTACATGTGTGCTTTATGTATTTTAATATTTACTTACCACAAGGTCAGGTCAGGTATTGTTATTCTTTTTAAATTTCTTGTGCTGTCTCACTTCATTACTGCTGTGTCTGTGCTCCATGTGAGTGACACAGGTGCTTATGTGGGTGGGTTCCAACTTACAGCGAAAATCAGGTAAGTCTCGCAGTAGGAACCATCTCCGACATGCCCCGAGGACTGCCTGTACCCAGCTTATCAATCTGAAACTCAGTACAATAACATCTATAGTACAAACATAACGTTCTAAGTTCAGACAACCCAAGAATGCAGAGGCTTATTCACCAGTGTGATTAAATCGGGGATAAAATACCTCTCAGAGTTTTCCATAATTTGTTTTACATCATCCTTTTTTGGATACTTTTTGTAGAAATCACTCATTTGTCTTAGCTAGTTAAGATTATTTAAGTTCTCGAGGATTTGAGTATCAGGTGCTAATAGTCTTGTTTGGTAGCAGATCATCTGCAACTGTCTAACCATCAGTTTCTTAAATGTTTTAGCGGGAACTCCTGCAGCGTTTTGGGCCCTCCCGCCATGGAATGCTGCACGGTTCCCTCTGAAACTTCTGGAGGCGGGGCAGAGAACGGAAAGACAGGCAGTGCTCTGTGGTACATCTATTTTCCCAAAGCAGCCTACACTGTGTGAACTGCAATAAACTTAGTTCCCACCTAAGGCAATTGGCAACAGACTGGTCAGAAGGCCTACCGCCTCACTGTTTAAGGTAACCTTGTAAGGGAGGATTAGCTGCTTGTTAACAAGGACAGATGGCACAGAGTAGGCCCAGTTGGGTTTCAGTGTTGGCTCTGTTATCAAAGCTGATCTTAAGTCAGTCCCTTAAGCCTGTGCCTTCAGGGGAGAGAGTCAGCGTTGGTCTGGGTTCATAACGCTGTAGGTCCGGCTTTGAGCCAGTGTCTGGCCCTTGCTTCTGATACAGGAGCTTCCGAACCCATCCCGCTAAGAAGTACTGGTTGGTTTGCATGGTAAACCCTTCCCTTCACTAAGATTCAGATCATGACCAAAGACCAACAAGCAGGGGCTTATGTGTGGGTGCAGCTCAGCAGTTGGGATGGGGAGAATAATCCTATACATCTGCGTTAGCCATCTCCCTCCCCTCCCGACATTCCCTTCGCTATTCCCTCACTGGCAGTGATCCTCGTTGATGCGGCCTGCGGGCCGTAGTTTGAAGACGCCTGTGAGGGAAGGGAAAGAGGCACATGGAAGTTATGCAAAACGGCGAGTCCAAACGAGAGCCAAGCCTGCCGCAGTCACAGGCTCCTCCCGTAAGCGCCACCTCCCCGGCCCGGACACACAGGCGGAGGTCTGGGGGCTCCTAATTCTGTAAGGCTAACTCCTCTGGATGCTTTCAGAGAGGTTTCAAAATCCTCTCATCAGCCTTTAAGTAAAGAAGAGGAAAGGAGAAAACTTAAAATAAAATAAGCCATATGCACAAAGCTCAAAGCACATAAGCCAAATGATTTAATTTAATATTAGCAAGGGCCAAATGGTATCTTAATAATGAAAACAAAGACAGTAATGCTTTCCTCAAATAAAACATTTGAAGGAAGAAATATTTCTAAAAAAAAAAAAAAGCGGGGGAAAAAGTTTATTTGGAAAAGTTAGCCTCTAATACAAGGCTTTTTATCTATTCTTTCACTCTGTCAATTACAACAATATTTTAAAATACATTTAATACAATATATAAGCCACTGAATGTCTGTCATCGTCCTACCTCCATTTAAGATACTGGGTTAAAAATATTTCATTTTCATTCTGGTCCGTCTTCCCTTCTGTCCTTATACTAAATCCATTTCTTTACTTTTCAAACAGGTGAAATGAGTCACAAAATTTTTAGGTTTATGTGGAGAAAATGTGTCTTACGAATGTGTCCAATAATTCTAACCAAAACATAATTTTCTTTAAACTTCTCAGAGAAAAAAAAAAGGAGTTATTTATTGAATTAAAAACACTCAGCAACATCCCTCCCAATCTTATCCTTATATGTTTGCCTGGGGCCAAATCTCTTTGGCTCCTTTTAACCAACAAACATGAAACAACAACAACAACAAACAACTAAGCACACAAAGAACGAGAATCGCAGACACAGCTCTGAGCTACACATAGATATGAATGAAACCACTATGAATCGAAGGGGGGAAACAATAACAAAAAGATCCTAAGTCTCATGGTTTAACTGAGGTTCTAGGAAAGCCTAAGCTGAGTCCAGCTGCTGTTTGAAATATGTGTCTACACTTAATTAGAGATGTTGGATTTACTAAGGAGGCACAAACCGATAGTCTTGCATATTTTAATACTAACTTTTACAGTAAAAAAAGAATACTAAGTGATCTCAAAAGGGACAATGATCTATAAGTACTCAAAATGTATCTTTGAAAAGGAGTAATAAACATCCTAAGGAAAGAAACCAGATGGGGTGTTGATGAGTGCAATGTGTCTAGAACAGACAAGGTATTTCCAAAATTTTATGCCTTAAGTTTCCTATGTGTATAGCAGGCAGGCACACATGCCAGGCAAATACTGACGCTAGGAAAATATTTCAGTCAGGATTTTAAAAAACCCCCAACTTTCAGCCAAGATTTCTACTCAGTCTTTCAGTGATAATGTATGACAATATGTTGCAAATAACACTAAAGCAAGATTAGTTTTAAATTTTAGATTTGCTTCCATCAAGGTATTTTTTTTTTTTAATGGAACACTTCAAATAGATGAATTCAGCAGAGTGGTTTGTAAAGTTAAGGCTCCTTAAAGATTCTAAAGACTAAAACTTAAGGCACATATTATAATCTTCATGACACTGTTAAAAGCTAAGATTAAAAAAACAAAACGAAAACATACCCGACTTCTTCCCTTCATTCTTTGCCAACCACTCCCTCCCCACAGGATATGGCGTTTTAAATTTGGGTAATGGTAAGGAGTGAAACAAAAATTCCATCAAGGAACACCTGGTAGGATTTCCACACAAATGTCCACTGTCTGCGGTGAGCACCACTGGAGGTTACAGGCCGGGGACATCTTCCGAGATCTTGGGCCACAAGCTGCTCCGTGTACCCTGCAGCCCCACGGCTCAGACGGGACTCTCCTCCTCTTTGGCGCTTTCTTCGGTGCTTTTTGGCTCCAGCGATTCTGCTTTGCTGGTAACTGCTTTTGGCATCTCACGCTCTACACCGGCCTCTTCCTCTTTCTGCTGCGCCGATTTTCTTCTGTCAGTCAGTCGATAATTGATGCCCATGCCGATGAACAGATAGATGCCTGCGAAAATGAGAACTATGCCACAGGCCCAGTACGTATATTTGTAGTCTCCGTAAATGTCATTGAGTCGACCTAAAGATGTCAAAAGAGAGAGAAAAACAAACAAACAAACACTGAAAACACCCACCAGTAAACAGTTATGTGGATAAAAGTAATATCCTTTTCTAAATAAAATTCAAGGACCTACCCAGAAAGATATCAACCCAACTCTCAGATAGCCAACAGGTGACAAATTAGTTTAAAAAGAAACTACCTTTTGTTTATGATGTCACGCTTGATTTTGGCTGGCCTTGCATACTGTCATTTTTAATAACTTGGAAATAATTAAATCTTGGCATATTTGAATTGGGAAGGAGCTAGAGATCACCTAGAATCAGTTTTCTCAATACATATGTGTGTGTGGGGGTTTTGCAATAAAGGTTTAAGAGCCTGGCCAGGTAGCTGTCGGTTTGAGTGTTGTCCCAATAGGCCAAGGTTGCAGGTTTGATCCCTGGTCAGGGCACATACAAGAGTCAACCAATGAATGCACAAATAAATGGGACAACAAATTGATCTCTCTCACTCTCTAAAATCTATCAATAAACTTAAAAATAATAAAAAAAAAGGTTTAGGAATCTTGCCCAAGGTCACAGAGCTAATTTCAGTCTCCCAGACTCCTGCTTTCTCTGACGTCAGCACTTCCCGAAAAGCATTCCTGTGAAGACTTGTCCTGTGCTAACAAAATGACCGAAGGTTAGTGACAACCTTTGCCTCATTCTGAGTGCTGCTTCCTCGCTCTCACTGTACAATGTATTGTAAAAACTGAAGCACAGAAGCCTTAAGTAGCTTGTCCAAGGTCACAAGTTAGAGCCGTTGGCTTAGACCCAGGAGGTGTGACTGAAGCTGCAGCTGTACCTCTGAGCTGCGGTGCCTCCTGGTGTCCCCAGAGTCGGAGAGTTTGGGGAAATGGCCTTATTCTCTCTCAGTAAAGCCGCACAAAGCAGTTAGCATGGCAAAGGCTTGGCAAGGTCCTGCAGTAAAGATACCTTGGTGTTTCCAAACTTTGTTGTTGGCCATGAAATCCTCGTTATAGAAAAATTCATTAGCATCTCATCTAATTGGCATCTCAAGGAATAAACTCTGGAAAACCCTACTCCACACCTAGGAAGGACTTCACGTAACCAATTCAAATACAGGATTTTATATGGCAGGGGTGGGGAACGCCCAGCTGCAGGCGGGCCGTGTAAGGCTGGTGCAGTCATTAGGTCTGGCCTGCCACTAGGGGTGAGTTAATTAAATGTTTGACTAAATATAGCAGGCTAATTTTTAAGTTGATAATTTTGTATGGCCCACAAATGATGCTATAAATACCCAAATGGGCCTTGGCAGAAAGAAGGCTCCCCACCCCTGCCACATGGTTTTCTAACTCGGGGCGTTATTCACTCAGAGTATTTACTGAGCCTTTCCACACACCAGTCACCGAGTCTCTGAGGCCCTGAGGAGAAAAGTGGGCAAAGGAAATAATATCTACAGTTTAGTGGAGGAGAGATGTTCATCAAGTAATCGTATAAACTGACCAGTGCTACTAGGAGGGCTGAAAGCAGAAAATGGGGGGGGGGGGGCAGTAAGTAGGGTCAGGAGGGCTTCTCTCAAAGAGTAAACTAATAAGCTAGACTGACAGGAAGAAGGGTTATCTGGCAGAGAGGGGGTGGGGGAGGGATCCAGGCAAAGAAGCGATGGGAGGAAGTACAGGGGCTCGAGGGGAGGGAGAAGAGGCCAGGCTGCTGGAGGAGAGCACAGGCCAGCAGGTAGGAAATGAGGCTGGAGAGAAAGGTGGGGCGCCCAGGAGGGGCCCTGTGGGCCACATAAGGGAATTTGATCTTCACCCTAAGGAGATGGAAGCAAGTGGAGGGTTCTAATTAGCTGAAATATCCAATTTGCATTTGTCTGTCGAGTAGAAAGCAGATTGAAGGCTAGCTAGAGTGGATATAGTAGATAGATCAGTGAGAGGGCTACTGGAGCAGCTCGAATAGGAACTATGGATAAGAGATCTATGGAGACGGAGAAAGTATACTGATTAGAGATTTAGGAAGTGAAAACTGACAAGATTGGGCAACTCATTGGATATGGTGGAAGGAAGTAGGAGTTACATCTTTTCAGAAAGCCAATTTTTTTTTACTGTCTTATGTACTGATTTAAAAGATGAAACACTGAATAACTTTAGGAAATAGTTTCCCAATTATATACTCAATTACTAGCTGTGTGATACAAAGCAAATCGTTTCACTTTTCAAAGCCCCTTTCTTCACTAACAAAGTGGGAACTCTAACAGTCTCTACCTCATAGACTGGTGAGATATAAGATATAGGACAGTGCACTATGAGCTTCCATGTAGCCATTATTATTACTACTACTATTGCTTATTACTATTAAAATAAACTCCCTTATTAAAATGAAATTACCACCGGTGCCTTAGAGGTGGCGTTGTATTTTACATGTCTTCTTACAATAAGCATGGAAGTTTTACAAAGAGAAAACATTTTAAGAAACAGCATCATTTAAAAAATATTTTACTCCCCTTTCAGCTTGATGGTTCATTTTAATTCAAGTCTGTGTTTGAGCAATGATGCTGCTCGAAGCACTGTGCCAGTTCCGAGGACACAGAAATGTGAAAGGCCTGCTCTCCCCCAGCAAAAGGCTGTGTCCTCCGCTTTCTATCCCCTTCTCAACCTTCATGCTGCTTTAAATGAACAGACCGCGGAGAGAGGGAGACACACTTACCTAAAAGTGGTGGCCCGAGGAGGACAGGACAGCACTCCACAATGGTCACCAGTCCCACAGCACTGGAGAACTTCTGGGGTCCAACGAGGTCCATCAGTGTTTCAAACAATACTGAGCTGAGCCACCCAAATGCAAACCCAAAAACTCCAGCATAAATACAGAGCCCAACGTAGCTGGTGGTCAGCGGTGCTACCATATGACACACTCCATTTGCAATGACAGAAGCAGCAAAAAAATATTGGACTCGAGGTCTTACCCACCTCGTGTTGGCTAAAAGTCCCATAGATGGTCTGGCAAACATGTCAACGAAAGCCAGAATGGAAAGAAGGAAGGCAGACTTCTCGTTAGAGTAATGCCTACTCTTGCCATAATTACTGAGAAAGACCAAAGGAGCAAACAGTCCAAAAAACATGACCACGTTTCCGGAGAGGTATATCAAAAAGCCTCTGTGAGTGAACAAGGAAAAGTCCAGGAATTGATTAATTGTTTGCAATACTGACTTTTTCTCCTTTTTGGGGGCTTCTCCAATGAGCTCTGTGTTTGCATCACCAGACTTCCCAGCTTCCTGAGTGGTCTCTGCAGGCTGGTACTTCTCCGCACCGCCTGGGGGCGGCCCTATGGGCCGCATCAGCGATCCAGCCACACAGCAGTTCAGCAGTAAGCCTCCAAGAATGAGGAAACTTCCTCTCCAGCCAAAGATGCTGAAGAAAGCCTGATTGAGGGGGGCCAGGGTGGAGAGGAACACAGGGCTGCCTGCCATGGCCAGCCCATTTGCCAACGGCCGCTTCTTGTAGAAATACTTGCCAATCATGGTCAGAGCTGGATTCAAGTTGAAGGCAAGCCCAAGACCTGAGAAAGAGGGGAAAAGAATCACAAACTGTAATAAATGTCAGAGAGATATCTGGAGTTACTTACCCCGTCAAATGAAAGAAAGGTGTAAGTAATGGAAGGAGACAAAAGCCTCGTTATTGGAGGGTATGCTGTATGGTGGTTGAAGTGTGAGCTCTAAAGCCAGACTGTGTGCTTTCAGACCTAAGCATCATCACTCACTGTCTGTGAGAGAGATACTGACGTGAGAAGGACACAGTGATTGGCTCCCTCCCATATGCATCCCCTACTGGGGCTGGAGAACCTGCAACCACGGTACCTGCCTTGACTGGGGATTGAACAACCAACCATTTGGTCTGAGGGACTGATGCCCTAGCCCCTTAGCAAACCAGCCAGGGCTTGTGCATTATTCTTAAGTCAAAACTGGTCAATAAGCGTTGTTGTTAATCCTCACCCAAGGATATCTTTCCATTGATTTTTTTGCACTCTGCCTTGGAGATTTTTTAAATTAAATTATTATATGTGTACATATTTTAACATTGCCTCCCCCTCTAATATATACCCTCCCTCCCCAGAGTTTTGTGTCCATTGGTTGTACTTATATGCATGTATACAAGTCCTTCAGTTGATCTATTATCTCCCCCAGATCTCCATACCCTCCCCGCTGTAATTTGACAGTCTGCTTGTTGCTTTACTGTCTCTATATCTATCTTTTGGTTCATCAGTTTATAATGTTCTTTATTATCCATAAATGAGTGAGGTCATGTGGTGTTTCTCTTTCATTGACTGGCTTATTTCACTCAGCATGATGTTCTCCAATAAGCATTTTCTTTAAAACAAAAACAAAACACACAGACACAAAGATATAAAAATACTTTTCTAAAAAGATGAAAATTTAAAAGACACATTTACTATTACTGACTATTCTTAGGACAAGAGATGCAATAATCTCTTTCAACTCATTTATTCATTCAACAATGAACACCTGTTATCACAGGAATTTAAAATGAATCAACAGCAACTCACCTCCAATGACTCCAATACAAAAGTAAAGCCCCTGAACACTGTTAGAGAACGAAGCTGCAATCAGGCCACTGCCTGACAAGCATCCACCAATGATCACGACTGGACGACTGCCATATTTATTCACGAGGATACTGCTGATAGGACCTAAGAAAAGACCGAACATTTAGTGGCCAGAAGAGAGGAACTGCCCCCTACAGAAGGTATTAATGAACACACAACAAAAGGTAATAGTAAGAACACTGCTTTCTTTTATGCCTGGATGGAATTTTACTAAAATATAAATGACTAGATCCTTAATCTTTCCCTTATAAGGCAGAATAGGCTGGAAATACCCTGGTAATGGATGTTCACAGGCTTCTTGATGCATGTAGGATACCACCAACATATATTTTGTACGTTTACTTTGTTTTAAATTTTGGACAGACACACGGATATGATGATGTGATTTCAGAGCATTATTTACATATTATAAATGTGGCTTATTTCTTTTTAAAAAAATATATATTTTATTGATTTTTTTACAGAGAGAAAGAGAGAGGGATAGAGAGTTAGAAACATCGATGAGAGAGAATCACCAATCAGCTGCCTCTTGTGGGGGATGTGCCTGGAACCAAGGTACATGCCCTTGACCGGAATCAAACCCGAGAACTTTCAGTCCGCAGGCTGACGCTCTATCCACTGAGCCAAACTGGTTTCGACCTATTTCTTTTCTTTTTTAAAAGAAATATATTTTATTGATTTTTTTACAGAGAGTAAGGGAGAAAGAGAGCTAGAAACGTCAATGAGAGAAACATCGACCAGCTGCCTCTTGCACACCCCCTACTGGGGATGTGCCCGCAACCAAGGTACATGCCCTTGACTGGAATAGAACCTGGGACCTTTCAGTCTGCAGACCGACACTCTACCACTGAGCCAAACCGGCTTTGGCTCGGCCTATTTCTTATTTTTTATAAAGAAAAAGACTAAATACATAATTATTTTTTCCAACTTTAAAGTTTTGTAATTAGGACATCTAAATGTAAAGCAAAATTAAACAAAACTGTTCTCCAGTGACATCTAGATGTCTCAGGTATTGAACTGATTATGACTTTTAGAGAGTTAACCTGGTTCCATGCCTATGTTACTGCTTTGTGTTATTAGCCAATACTGTGAGAGAAAAAAATGCTTGTAGGAGAAAATTAACTCAAATAATGGTCAAAATATTCTTGGATGTAATGCCTCAAAAAGATAGGAAATCGAGTGTTATCTAAAAAAACAAAAACAAAAACATTAAATTTCTTCAGCTAAATCGACACATACAAAAAAAAATGAGGGCTCTAAAATTCAATGGAAAAATATCTTTAGATGAGGATTAACAAAACAAAACAAAAATTGTCATTGACCTTCTAAGTTACTTCATGCAAATATTAGGCCACAGCTGGTTTGGAAATAATTTTTACTTATAGCTTGTGTACGATGAAAGAATAAAATATCGCCACACTATTGATTCTGTGAAGTATAAGTTAATGCTGTAAAGTTTCCAGTATTTTATTTTTTTAAATATACTTTTATTGACTTCAGAGAGGAAGGGAGAGTGAGAGAGACAGAAACATCAATGATGAGAGAGAATCATATATCCGCCGCCTCCTGCACGCCCCCCACTAGGGAGGGAACCCGCAACCCAGGCATGTGCCCTTGGCCAAAATCGAACCTGGGACCCTTCAGTCTGCAGGCCGACGTTCTATCCACTGAGCCAAACCGGACAGTGCAGATTCCAGTATTTTAGATGGAAAATGTTAACGTGACATCACTGTAAAACTGGAAACACATAAATTTACCCTTTTCATTTTAGGAAGAAAAAAAAAAAAAGAATAACTCAAGGAAATAAAACAACACTAGGCAACTAAGATCCCTTCCCCTAAAAAACATACTTTCACAAGCATATGGATGTATCTATGAGCCCAAGCATTAAAAAAAGAAAGAGCAAATTAAACCACTCACAGCTCAAAACATATCAGGGTGGGTGTGGTCCAAATGCACACGTTAAGGATTATGGCTCTGGTGAAAGTCATGGTAATTTGGAGGGGACACACTGCTTAGGAGCCAGTCCAAACAAAATCACCCGTTTAGTAAAAATTCTGCCACAGGCAATTTGTCTTTTGAGTTATTTCTGGAAGGATGGCCCCAATTAGCTATAATTAGAAAAAGAGAGGGGTACAGTTCATAGGCCTATTATAACAAAATTCAGGGAAATGTGCTAGTTATCTCCGGATGAGGACAAAGAAGGAACTGTTTTCCCAAAAGAAAGTGTCATGTGCAATTTGTAGAACTGACATCACTTACTTTTGATGCAAAATGTAAGAGGCTTTCAAGCTCTTTGACAGCTCGGAATTACAACAGCAAACCTCTGGTCTGTAGTCAGCAATTGGAGCCCCTCTGGAGAATATTTATACCATTTTTTCAAGCCATCATAATCAAAACCTGATTAGAAATCCTGGCAGATGGAGTCCAAGGTTCCTTTTCATTTCTTTAAACTTATATTTTTAAAAAGTGGCTCAATGGTTACCTATGAACTAGGAGGTCACAGTTCAATTCCTGGACTGAACACAGGCCCGGGTTGTGGGCATGATCTCCAGTGTGGGTTGTGCAGGAGGCAGCAGATCAGTGATTCTCTCATCATTACTGTTTCTCTCTCTTCCTCTCCCTTCCTCTCTGAAATCAATAAAAACATTTTTTAAGTACTACAATTAGTATTTACATTCTTTTAAAAAGTATCTTAATAGAAAAAACAGGCTTATGTTCAAAATTTAAAAGATTCAAAAGATATACAGCAGGTATTAATTTATTTTATGAATTCCAAAATAAGAAAAAAAGATATACAGCAGAAAAAAATGTATTCCCACACCCATTCCCAGTCACTCAATTTATCTTTCTCTAAGGCAAACAGGTTACCTGTTTTCTCTGTGCAATGAAATTAGGCACTTAATCCAAGTATGACTCAACTTAACTTCTGTTTCCTAAGTTTATGTTATTTTCTCAACCGGATTATAAACAGGATCACAACACCTAACCTAGTGTGCTAATAGGTAATACTCAACCAAGTATATATATACACCGTATTTTTCGGACCATAAGACGCTCCGGACCATAAGACGCACCAGTTTTTAGAGAAGGGAAATGAAGAAAAAAAGATTCTGAAACAAATAGTGTCCTAAAATATTTTATGTGCAATTAAAACTCAACATCACAGTCATAAACACATGTAATCAACCCTGTAAAGTAAACAGCAGCATTTAGAACCATTTTAGAGCCGGGCAAGCACACAGAGACCACACAGAGCCGGGCAAGTAAAAAAACTTTTTTTAAAAGTATATGTGTAGGCTATATTTGGACCATAAGACGCAGGGTCTTTCCCCCCCCACTTTTGGGGGGGAAAAAGTGCGTCTTATGGTCCGAAAAATACGGTAATACTAGAGGCCCGATGCATGAAGATCCGTGCAGAATGGCCTTCCTTCCCCTGGCTGCCGGAACAGCCTTTGCTCTGGCCTAGAGCCGCCTTTCTGCCTTCCCACGCTGCCCAGAGGCCCGGAGCAGCTGGGGTGGTGCAAAATGCCTGTCATTGCCATGGCGACAATACAAGTATCCTGCCCCGGCAACTGGGTGCCTGTATATGTAAATTAATCATCATATTTGTTGGGTTGATTTGCATACTCACTCCTGATTGGCTGGTGGGCATCATGAAGGTACAGTTTAATCTGTATCTTTCTCTTATTAATGTAGATAGTAATACCAAGCATAGTGCTTAATAAAAATGTGTTGAAGCTGACACCAGGTTAGAAGCCTAAGGCTCAGGTTTAACAGTTAAAATGTAGAATATTTATATTGGCTATTAAAGAGCTACACATTCAAATGATAAAGAGAGAACCAAGATAGTGGAATAGGCAAATGATGATACTTGCAGCCTCCCACAACCACATAAAAAAATACAACTGAAATACAGAACGACCATCATTCAGAATCACTTGAAATCTGGTTGAATAGAAATCCTATACCAGAACAAGTAAAGAAGGTCTGGGGTGGGGCAGGAACTGTGAGGAGAGGGGAATGAGGGAAGAGAAGGGGGGCATCTGTAATCATATATAATAAAAGGCTAATATGCAAATTGACCAAACAACAGAATGACCAGTTGCTATGATGTGCACTGACCTCCAGGGGGCAGATGGTCAATGCAGGAGCTGCCCCCTGGTGGTCAGTGTGCTACCACAGAGGGAGCACCTCTCAGCCAGAAGCCAGGCTCATGGCTGGCGAGCACAGTGGTGGTGGGCTCTCTCACCTCCACAACAGTACTAAGGATGTTTACCTGCGGGAAGCAGGCCTAAGCCCCCAGTGGGGTAAACCCCGAGGGCTCCCCAACTGCAAGAGGGAACAGGCTGGGCTGAGGATCCCCCCCTGCCGTGCACAAATTTCATGCACCAGGCCTCTAGTACTTTCAATAATAAAGATTTTAAAAAAACACACAAAAAAACTCATATGAAAATAATTTGAGGTACAAAACAACCACCAAAAATAAGATTATCAAAAATGAAAGTTTGCCTAGCCGAAACCGGTTTGCCTCAATGGATAGAGCGTCGGCTTGGGGACTGAAGGGTCCCGGGTTCGATTCCGGTCAAGGGCATGTACCTTGCTTGCGGGCATATCCCAGTAGGGGGTGTGCAAGAGGCAGCTGATCGATGACTCTCTCTCATCGATGTTTCTAACTCTCTATCTCTCTCCCTTCCCTCTACAAAATCAATAAAATATATATTTTTTTAAAAAATGAAAGCTTGCCTAAATAAGCAACTTGAGACACCGTCAATCCCAGTAAATAAGTACAGTTGGCTTTAGAATCTCTGCTTACTAAGTAACTATATATTTTCAGTACTTTGGTAGGTTTTGACTTTTACATGTTAAATTGTGATTTGGTGTTCCAAAGTGAAACAAACAATATTTTAAATGTTATTAAGTAAGCACTAACTTACTCTTCACATTTCCTTCACATGTCAAAGACAGAAGCTTAAGGTGCAGCTGAAATGCTTGTAGGTCTGTATTATCACAAGGAACCAGAGCATTTCTTTAATTCTAACACCGTGAAAAGTGTTTTTTCAGAGACTTTGCATTAGCTATTCAAGTTAACTCGATTTATTTTAATTCTCCTGACATTAATTTTAAAAAATCTTTGTTTACATTTTAAAAGTCTGGCGGAGAACAACAAGAAAAATCAGCTGTGCATGTGTCATTTTTCTGAGAGCTTTTTAAAGCTCAATGATACTGAGTAGGAGCAAATCACAATTTCTCTTTTGTTTCATATTATGGAACTAACAGAGCAAAAGTTGTCATTACCAATAGGAATGAAAATGTGACTCTAAACATAAAACTTTAAGCAATAACATTTTAAAACACGTCACTGAATGAGACATAAAAAAGTGACCTAATATAGAACTTCTGGCTGCTTTATGAATATTAAAACAGCAGGCCATTGTGGGTACTTACCTGCACCATACATGACAGCCAGCATGATGGAGGATATCCATGACACTTCACTGCTGGTGGCATGGAATATTTCTTCAATTTCTTTGAAGAACACAGTAATAGACTTGGGAAATGCGTACGAGAAGCCGATGGAAATGAAAGCTCCAAATACCACTGCCCACCCCCAGCCTCCATCGGGGGGGGTGTATCCCACTGGACCTCCAACTGCCGGTGGCATCTTAAGGGCAGATGAATTTCGAAAGGCCGTTCAAATCGAGTATCTGAAGGATATAAAATTAAAACAGTATGTCAGCTATGTCAGCAATATAGCACTTCCACCCACCACCGCCAACAACACACACTTCCACTCTTCACACCAAGCTTTCAAAGGACGGAACTGCTTTCCAGTGTTACTTGTCTAATGACATTATCTTCTCAGGATTTATCACAAAAAGTCTCAGGGCCATGGCATTACAGGCCCGTGTGAGCTTATGCTTGGCAGGGCAATGTCTGGAAAACCTCTGTTCTTCCAAAGATATAATATGTTTGATCTTGCTAGCAAAGATTTCCCTCAGGCAAAGTCCTGCCAAATATAAACTGACGATCTAAAATTTCAAAACACATCAAGAATCAATTAACCATAAGTGAATCCAAGCCAATCCAACAGAGATTACATACTCAAGAACTACAGATATTGGATATGGATATTTAAATGGCTAAAAACAGTTGATTTGAAACAGAACTTCCAGAAACGGAAAGTATACTCAATGCAATTAATAACAGGTTAACCAGCATACTGAACACAGCAGGAGACAGTAAACCTGCAGGATAGGGTTGAAAAAGTCAGAATTAAATGGAGAGCTTTATTCTGAAGCTATGAAAGGTTTAGAAACATGGAATTGAGAATAGGAGTATTGAGCATACATCTAATGGGACTTTGGAAAAAGCTAAGAGTGGGAAAGGGGCAACTTTCAAGGGTTAGTAGCTAAGAATATAGACTTAATGAACAATACGAACCTACATGAGGAAACCCAACAAGATAGAGAAAAATCTTTAAAAAACTATTGAGAAAATACAGATTACATAATCAGTGACAATACAGAATTCTCATCAATTTTGAAAATTTAAGCCACTGTGTCTTTAAATATTGGTTTTCTCTGTTCTCTCTTTCCTTTCTTTTAAGACTCTAACTGGATGTGGGCAGGGCCTTCCCATGGTATCTACTCTTTTTCTTCTGTGTTTTCCATCCTTTTGTTTCTCTGTACTGAGAATCTGAGGCCTCGAGTATTATCTTTCCCCAGAGATATATTTCTAGGATCAAAATGTTTTAGGTTGCAGTTCATTTGAGGCCTGCTCTGCCTCCAGTCCGTCCTTCATCCTACAGCACAGCCTTTCACATCCCAACCCAAAGAACAGGATTTTCACACCGGAGCGCTCACTCTTGATGGGCCTTTGACTCTAAACATTTTTTCTGTTGGGCCCATGAAGCTTTCCAAAGCACTACTCAGGCACTGGAAACTGATCCTCTTTCTATAACTTGAAAGCTTTTGACTCCATAATCATATCACTATTGCCACAAGTAGAAAGCTGGTAAGATAAGTTGCCAAAATCAGATAATCATCAATACCAGGAAGCCACCAATCAGAGGTGGTCAACATCTACTGTTAGCTCTAAATCCACATTTGCCGCCTATGACAGCACCATAAAAATGGATCCTACATATCCTGCTTGTCAAATCTCAAAGCCAGTATCTAGACTTGGAGATATCTGTTCTGATTCTGCCTCGCAAATGTCACAAAAATGCACTTGATTAGCAGAATTCAAATCAAATCCAGAAATATAGTTGCAAGGGAACCTGGGAATTGTAGTTTTTAGCTTTAAAGCCAGGACGGTAGAGCAAAGAGCGCCAAGAAAAAAGATGTAATGGATGCCAAACACTACTTCCAAACACTATTTCCACAGACACATGTAGTATGATACCATTTAATAAATTTTAATTATGCTATGAGAGAATAATTTATTATTTACAGACATACATAAGATAATAACAGTCATGATTGCTTTGCTTAATGATGGGTATACATTCTGAGAAATGCAACCTTAGGTGATATTGTTGTATAAAAATCATAAAATTCACCAACACAAACATACATGGCACAGCCTACTACACTCCTAGGCTATATTGTATAGACTATTGCCTCTAGGTTTAAACCTATATAGCATGTTACTGTACTCAATACGGTAGGCTACTGTAATACAATGGTATTTGTGTATCAAAGCATATCTAAATAGAGAAGGTATAGTAAAAATGTTATGGAGATAGTGTACATCTGTATGGGCACTTATCAAACATGAAACTTGCAGAACTAGAAGTTGCTCTTGGGTGAGTCAGTGAGTGAAAGGTGAGTAGATGCAAAGGCCCAGGGATTCCACAGGCTTTGGTTGAGATGGCAAACCACTCTAACCCTACATGACTGTAGACTTTATAAACACTGTACACTTAGGTTACACTGTTTATTAAAAATTTCTTTTCTCAATAAATTAACCTTAGCTTACTGTAATTTTTACTTTATAGGTTTTCAAATTTTTTATTATTTTGTAACACTTCGTTTAAAACAAACACCTTACGCAGATATACAAAAATATTTTCTTTATATTCTCATTCTATAAGATTTTTCCTATTTTTAAAATTAAATTTTTTTTGCTTTTTAAACTTAAAAACAAACAAACCCAAGACAAATACACATTAACCTAGATCAGTGGTCGGCAAACCACGGCTCCCGAGCCACATGCAGCTCTTTGGCCCGTTGAGTGTTCTAAAGCCACTTCTTCAAAATAGACGCGCCCCGGCCAAAAACTTCTTCAAAATAGACGCGCCCCGGCCAAAAACCAACTTCTGTGCATGGGCCATGAAGTTCCAATCGCACTGTATGTGCACGCCCGCACTTGGCATTTTGTGGAAGAGCCACACTCAAAGAGCCGCATGTGGCTCACGAGCCGTGGTTTGCCGACCACTGGTCTAGATCTACGCAGGCCAGGATCATAAATATCATCTACTATCTTCCTCCTCCACATCGTGTCTCACTGGAAGGTCTCTCATGTAGGTGATGGTCATCTCCTATGATGATGCTCTTTTGAAATATCTCCTGGAGACCTGCCTGAGGCTCTTCTTAAGCAGGTGTCTCTCTTCAGAAGCATGTCCATGGTGGTTTGCTTGTTTCTATTTTTAACTCACAGATTTGCTTGTAAGCAGAAAATGTACCATGAACATTCCTCTGTATTAACGAAAGCTTTTCAGTGTGGTTTGTCTTCAAACTTTATTTATTTATTATTATTTTTAAAATCAGTCTTTATTGTTCATATTGTTACAAAGGTTCCTCATTTCTTCCCCCCTCCACCAGGGTCCCACCCCACCCTCCGCCCCCTCCCCACCCCCCACCGTCCTCATCCATAGGTGCAGTTTATGTTCAGTCTCCTCCTCCCTCCCTTTCCCCGATAGTAAATCCCTTTTCAGATAGTAAATCAGTTACTTAGCATTTTCTCATATCAATAATACCACCACATGCCCAATGATACATTTCACACAAAAGACATTTCCAAATAGGTCAACCAGCCTCATCCAGGCCCCACCCAAGGCACTCACAGATCAACACCCCAGCCCTATACTAACTCAACACATCCAGATCTAAGCCTTCATCACTTGATTCAGCAGACCCTCAAGTTCCCACAAAAGTTTCCAGCCATGTCTGAGAGGCCGTCATGGGGGGCAGGGGCAGGCGAGAAGCGAGCTGCTCCGGGCCTGGCCGCTCCCAGCCTGGCAACCGCTGCTCCGGGCCTGGCCTCACCAGACCCGGCTGCTCCGGGCCTGGCCGCTCCCAGCCTGGCAGCTGCTGCTCCGGGCCTGGCCGCACCAGACCCGGCTGCTCTGGGCCTGGCTGCCCCAGGCCCGGCCACTCCGAGTCTGGCCGCTCCCAGCCTGGATGCTCCGGGCTTGGCTACTGCTGTTCTGGACCTAGCTGCTCCCAACCCGGCTGCTCTGGGCCCGGCTTCTCCGGGTCCGGCCACTCCGGGTCTGGGTATTCCTGGACTGGCCACCCTGGGCTTGGCTGCCACTGCCCCAGGTCTGGCTGCTCCAGTACTGACTGTTGTTGCTCTGGTTCTGGCTGCTGCTGCTCTGGGGCCTGGCCGTTGCTGCTCCGGGCCCGGTTGCCATTGCTTTGTGCCTGGGCACTCTAGGCCTGGCCGCCGCTGTTCCAACATTCTGTCCTTTTTTTTTTTTTTTTTTTTTAACGCATTTATGTTGCAATGTTGGCTGGTGAGTTGAGTTCTGACTTAGTCTTTGATTTTTCAAGATCTTCTTTGTATTCTTTCTTAAGTAATTTTACTATCTTTTGCTCTCACTTGATTTCTTCACATTGAGAACTTTGGTTTCTTCCTCCTTGTCCTGGGAGCTCAGCAGGTTGGCCTGTGGCACCCCTTTGTTCTCCGCGGGCTCCCGCGCTGCTCCAGCCTGTTGCCGGGGTCGGCGCCGCCCAGGAAGCAGCCCCCGGCCTTGGCTCCGTTGCCCGAGCTCAGAGGTAGATGGCTCGGGGGCACCCCCCCCTGGGGGTCCCGTCGCCCGGCTCCCTGCCGGCGCCCGGCTGGCTGGTGTCCGGCAGGGGCTCCTGCTCCCTGTCACATTCCTCCAGTCTGGAGCTTTTTTTTTTCTTTTTTTTTTTTCCTCCTTCCTGCTAGGGGAGTCTAGGATCAGAGTCAACAGACTGTCCTCTGCGCGCAGTGCGCGTGCCTCTGGGGGCTCCGCTTTTCGCCACTCCCCTGGGATTCCGCCTCACAGCCCCGTCTCCCCCTGCCCGAGCCTGGGTCCCCAGGGTCTGGTCCAGGTCTGGGGTTCAGAGCAGTCCGGACTGAGGCTCAGCGCCGCCGGAGGCTTTGTTTCTTCCGGCTAGGGTAATCCAGCATCAGAGTCAACATTCAGTCCTCTGCTCGCAAAGTGTGCGTGACTCCGGGGGCCCTGCTTTTCGCTGCTCGCTTGGGATTCCGCCTCACAGCCCCGTCTCCCCCGCCGGAGCCTGGGTCCCCAGGGTCTGGTTCATAACTGGGGGTCAGCGCTGCCGGTTCGGGGGTTCAGCCTAGGCTGGGGGTTTTATTTCCTTCCTGTTAGGGAACGCCAGGCAGCACCCAGCCCTCTCCTCCTCTGCGCGCGCGCACGCGAGTGCGCAGCATGTCTCCGTACCTTAGGCTTTTTTTCAGCTCCTCTGATTTTCCTTCTGGTTTTCTTTCC